GCGTTTCGTATTCCGTCGGGAATTCTTAATTATAGATGATGGTAACACAGTCATGGCATCGCAGGAAGGGCGTCTACCGATCGAGTTATAGGACATGCTCGATCCGTTGTCTCCCTTGTACTCAATGGCCAAGAAATCCTGGCTCAGGTTCCCAGTTATCCAGGCTTGGGGTTGGTTATTGCTGACTCAAAACGGCTAATAAACCAGAAGTGGCAACCCTAGGCTCCCTTGTATCAGTCTCAGCAATCGCCTGCGGGAGCTGCAGGCATAGCAAGACGAGCACGTCCCCTAAACTGATCGGTGAACGCCCTTTACATGATAGAAACAGTTTTGTTGCTATGGCTGAGTGACATATTAACCTTATTTGACGGGAAAACTTGCGCGCTCGGACGAGTGAATTAGTGTTAGTTTTCCAACGCCTGTAACAACAGTTGTTCCAGGTCATTGGACAATGTACACTTTGTTATCAATTTGACACCTTGTCGGAAGGCAACACTTCGTAGCCAATAATTTAAGAATATGTACAAAGTTCAAACCTGTGAACAGTGCTGACTGCACTCAGGGGTTTACCTAACGACAAGTTAACGGTGTTTGTTGAAAAAAACTAGGTTAAAGAAGTTTTTTAATCTTGAGTTTCGAATGCGAAAATGCAGACAGTACCTGTTCACTGAGAGAAAGTAACTCAGCTTTGCGAAGAAACCATTGGCCTTCGATGTTGCCTGTAGCAGAAAATGCCCAACAAGATCCGCAGTTCCCTTGATTTTTCACCTCAGAGACCGCACCTTTCTCGCGCCAGTCACAACTCTCCGGAATATCTTTACTTGGATAGGTGACTATTTTGTCAGCTGGTCGGTTTGACAGATTGACGGGCTGGTTGAGATAAATTCTCGCAAATTCGGACTCTACAAGAATGTACAATAAAATATGCCAAGTAGAGACTTACGTGTATAGTGGAAAAACTCGGTAACCCCGTATTCAGCTGTTCCCTGATCGTAGTACTGCAGAAGCAGGGCTTTAAAGTAATTTTCACAGAACGTGGAATAACGATACTCATCTACAATCAAGGTAACGATGAGATAGCAGCAGCCTAACCTTCTGTGCCGAAGGTTTTATTAAATTTGGCTTTGAAATGTTGAAATTCAACAGTCAAGTCGATCGGTAGGCTTGCACCGAGATACTTGAAGAGGAAAATAGATGTCTGAGAAGGTGATCTTACGGTATAAGGCCATTTTGGTTCCCCTATCGTATAGGGTTTGCAGTGTGGCACAATTTCTCGAAAACTCAACAGCTTGCCTTCTCGCGTCAGCGGACAGTTCAAAAACTGTGTGATCAAAGTTTAGTATATAGTATAAACAACGAACCTGGAGACTTTTTACGGCGCACGTGTCACTGCTCGGCCGATGCGGATCTTTGCAAATTAGCGTCAAAGCCTGAATTTGTAGTGGCCGGTTTCGAGGCGTCAACAACTAGGAGAGTGTTGCAGATGAGGGAAGACACACATACCCGAAGAAAGGGTTCATTGGCAAAGAGCAATTGGACTGAACCCTCTTGTGGAGACAACTGGAAGGAGTCATGTTTATTTAGGGCTGTATGTGACATGAATTGCAAGGATTTAGCCCATTCACGCGGAGGAGGACAGGTGCTCCGCAGCAACACGAGAGTAAGGAACAGTAACAGGCAGACAGTAGGGACAAACAACGCTCTTTGCGTTGTTTCAAGCATTTTTTCCTGAAACAAAAAGGATGAGAATATAGTTTACTGAGGCAGGAGGAAGTTCGAATACAACAAGATAAGGTGGGGATGATTTAGAAAATGAAACAAAGCACGAAGCAGTAAATAACTGGCAAGGGGCGAAACACACTGGCATTTGGAAAACATCTGAAGCTATGGACAAAGAGAGACAGTCTGCTGAAAGTTCAAAAAGGCAAAATCTGATACCCGCGATCGAAAGGGTATTTCAGTGAAGGCACGCATTACCATGAGGCTCAGTTCTGAACTCGATCATATCAAGGTGTTCGTTAAAACGCCCAATCCCCTCCTCCGAACAGCCACTAGTTTAAACGGGGTTTGAGATGCTACTTATATACTTTCGAACTCTCGAGAGTTATTTCTGTCCTGCCTCATTAAAAGGAACTGCAAAAAACAGTACCAGGAGATTACTGTATAGAGTTGGTGTCAGTATTGCAGGGGTAAAAAGAAAGCTTTCCACAACGCTATGGTAAGGGAGCGGTGGAAAGGTCACCTGGTTTCGTTCCATGTCACTACAACCTGTTACAAGCTTGCAGTTAAAGACATTCAAAGGAAACTATTCGCACTTTATGTTTATAGTGCGCAGACTTTTAAAGGGCTTCTAAACTGTTTCGTTCATATAATTTGCGAAAAACGGGTTAATTTTTGCCAGTTTATCGGTCGTGAACACGCAGGGAAGAACATGAATAAGTAGCCTGAAGGAATTAGAAAAAAATGAGTAAGAATAAGGATTAAAAACTGCGAAAAGAAACAAACTTCACTCCCGAATCGCGACATAAAATTAACACCGTATCGAGCACCCTTTGCAGCTGCCAACAGTCAGTAATCTGTTTAGCTTGAAGTCAATTTAACAATTTCATCGGAGTCAGCCGTGTGGAATGCAAACTCATAACTGAAACCACCGTCTTCATTCTTGAGAATTATGACCGGAAAAAGGACGACCCATAAAAAGTCTATAACAGGTTAGATATGGAAGGGAAACACGAGAAATATTTGTCAATTTTTTAGTAATAGTTACAAGGTAATAAGTACTCCAATGAGTTGTTTTTACTGTTTGCTCTATTTTGCTTTGATCTACTGTATCGGCTCGTGTCATTTGGCATTGCCAATAGTATGAGGTATTATTTTTAATGTCACAATATGCATGTAAACAAATAGGGTGTTCAAAGGTACACATCTACATTTCCTTCAAATAAACTGTACTTCGCTGTGAACTGCAAAAAACAAACATACCTTCATTACAGTGATTTTAGATAGTGACAGTTGCTATATTACGTACTCTGTTCTAAGGCGTGTGGGAAAATATTTACGTACAAGGAACGTCCGCGTTGTGAAGTTACAAAAAAATTGTGGGCGATTCGGGTAGTTTCGTAGTGTTTTGTACAACTATAATCATTTTAAATAAGAAAGTTGACGACAATGTCTGCATTTAGAGTAATGTCATCGTATCGACACAGATGCATAGTATCCTACCAATACTAATAATCGAATAACGTTAAACAGATAAACTCAACATTAGCTCGCTACTCAGACGTTTTCTCCAAACTGCCACAGGAAAACTTATGCCAAGTATTTTGGTGTTCCTTGCTCAAGACGTCTGTGGACAACCAAGAGGTGGAACAGGGAGCTCCAGGCAATCATCATAATCACAATTGTAAGCAGAACTGTTCAATCCTTGTCTAACTCTAGATTACGAATGATACACAACTGACTGTAATAAGACAAATTGCTACATCAGCGACTGTGGAAACTGAAATATGGCGTAACAGTATGACCTGATATTTTCCTCACTGAAAGCCGTACATTACCTATAATACGGCATTAGTAGGTGTATCTCAATATATTCGGATAGTTCCTCCACAAATAGCAAGAGT